CTTTCCCTAGAGGGGCCAGGCCTGAGCTCTGTCCCCTCCTGGTCACCCACCTGTGGCACCACTTCACTTTTTTCCTCCCACTTCCCACCACAACCATCCTGGCACTGGGCTGTGCCAGCAGGGACACCAGGGTGATGGGACAGGGCACACAGCACAGGTCTGAGCCACTCAGGCACCAGCAGGATGGCTGCCCTGCCCTGGGGACAGGGACAGAGCCAGCAGCACCTTCACCAGCCCCTCCTGACCAGCACATAAACTCCCCATGGAAGCACTTCCCTAGGATGCTGAGCACGCCCCAGGGCTCCCGTTAATACCTTCAGCTTCTTAAGTCAAGTGCCTGCCTTGGAACGTGTCTCATCTGTGCTGCTCTTCTCCCTTCATTCCCCTTTGCAAAACCACCAGTTTCTTTTCCTATCCAACTCCAGAGCTGCCTTTTCCCTGAGCTGAGCCTGAGCTTTCTCCTTGAAGGGCTCGTGTTTTGTTTTGCTAAATCCTCCTGCCCCAAATTCCAGCAGAGCTGGCTCAGGTCCCACTTCCCTCTCCTGTCCCTGCTGTCCTAGCAGAGCCTCTTGGTGCCCCCAGCCTGGCTCCCCACACCCCAGGACAGGCTCCCCAGTCCCCGCACGCCCTGCCCAGGGGAGGAAAGGCACTGGGAACCACAGAGAGGAAGTGGTTTTCAGGGTGGGGATGCAGCAAAGGAAACTTTGGGAGCTCCTCCACCCAAAACATCCCGAGCGGGTTTCCTTCCGCCATCACCCCCCGCGAGAACCCCTCGTGCCACCTCTGACAGCTGCACCCACCCCAGGCTCACAGCCTGCTGGGACATCTTCCCCTCCCTGGCACAAACCATGGCTCTGTGGGATCTCAGGCAGGACCACCCTGTGCCAGGGTGGGCGAGCACTCAAGGGACAGGGACAGCAAAGCCACTGGGGCACCCGTGCTCCCAGTGCAGGGGCCAAAAGCAAAGTGGCCCCTGGCTGGCAGGACCACAGTCCAGGCAAAGGGACACCCAGGAGGCATCTCCTCAGGGTTGAGCACCAGCCCTTACCCACAGCTGGGGCATCATACTCCTCCCCCAGCAGGATCTCGGGCGCCGAGTAGGCCAGGGAGCCGCAGCTGGTGTTGAGCATCTCTCCGGGCTGGAAGCGGTTGCTGAAGCCGAAGTCGGTGAGCTTGACCACCCCTTGCTCCTGGAAGAAGACCACGTTCTCGGGCTTGAGGTCCCGGTGCACCACGTGGAGCTTGTGGCAGTAGGAGATGGCGTGGACGATCTGGGCGAAGTAGTGCTTGGCGCCGGGCTCGGCCAGCCCGCCCTCGTGCCGCATGATGTGGTCGAACATGTCGCCGCCGTCGCCCAGCTCCAGGATGAGGTAGAGCTTGGCGTGGGTGTCGATCACCTCGTAGAGGCGCACCACGTTGGGGTTCTGCACCAGCTTCATGCAGCACACCTCCTGCAGCAGCTGCCCC